TTTTTAAAAATAAATTTGTAATAAAATAAAATTTTAAAATAAATAATATATAAAATATGATAAATAGCTCTAATAATATTATCATAAAATATATAAAATTATGATATTTTTTTATTCTTAAACTAAACATTGACTATACCTGGAATGAAAAAAAAAAATTCCTCCACTCACACATTTCTTAATTCACTCAAAATATTTTTTAAATATAAAATCATAATAAATTAAAATATAAAACAAACAATATCTTTATAATAATTAACCCTACCTATAACACAACATAACTTATTATGATTAAATTAAAAAAAAAATACCATTCATATTTTTTTTTGGAAAATCTTAAAAAAAAAAGTTAAAATAGATGCTTAATCCAAACAACGAAGATGATGAATTTTAAATAATAAAAAATGGTGGATATCGTGGTGCACGAGGTGAATATAAGATAATAAAAGTCTCAATCACGATGATATAATGCTCTGAATGGTAGGATCAATGGTGTCTCAATTATGAGTCGCAACACTTTTTCATGTCTGGACACATTGAACGAGTCACCACGTTCATGGTGGTCCATGCAAAAACCAGTTCAAGAAGAACACGTCCAACCCAACCCATTCATTCATCACAAATAAAATAATTACTACCAAGAACTTTACAGAGAACACTAATCAATGTAATGATGTGCCTTGTCTTCTAATATTTTATTGCATCAAGATAATATATTTTAAACACACTTTAAAAATTGTTTAAACCTAATATAATTTCTAGCGGAAATTACTCATTAAAATTATTAGATCAAATATTAGTTAGAAGTGGCTACGCACATTATTGTGTGAGATAAAAATGTTTGAACAATCCAATCATATCATGTTTTTGGGGGGAAAATCACGTGTGAAGAGGTGAAATTCATTGAATTTGTCAGTTTCATTCATCACGATGCTGGGTGGCATCTTTTCAATTTCATTCATCAAATCTCACGTGTTTGTTAGAATGTAGGTAATAAACAACATTGTCTGCATGAAACTGAAGGTTTTACTGTTACCTTGTCTTTTCTCAACAACACATTGACGTGCATTATCAGATTCACACCATTTCTTCAACGACCATTAACGTGTTTCTTTCTCCTTTGTTACAAACACATTATTAAGATAAATATGATCTAATAACATCTCAAGTGTGAGATTTCTACTTTAATAATTTAAATTTATAAGTATCTTGACGTGGGAACATTACATTTATGTTATCATAATTTTTTGTCTTAAACAATAAATACTAAGATTCTGGGGTTCTAAAAGCGTACTTTTTTTCACACTAAACAAAATAAAATCTAGCACGTGACAGTGTGTACGTGATATTCTATATATATTAAACTCACCTATTAATGGCTCTTGAAATCTGAGCCATTGTGTAGTGTTTGTGCTGAAATCGACATTTGTCATACGTGCCCCACGTCGTTTTGTTTGCAAGCAAGTTCCCATATCTTATCCACAAGGAATTATATTGAAGTAGCATCTCTATTTTTTTATATATAAAAATAAAAAAAATATTATATTAAAACTGGAAAGATACGTAACCACTTCGTCGTTGTATTTATTTGTAGTGGTTGAATTTTGTTGGGAGATGAGACAAATCATGTTCCAATTATAAGTTAATATATATTTATAATTTTGAATTTTTGTATATTTAATAATTATTATTATATATTTATTTATATATTTTTACTTTTTTAATATATTTATATTAATTTATTATTTATTTCTTCTAAATTATTTTCCTAGTATTTATTTATGTGTAAAAATAATAAAATAAAATAAATTTAACATATTAAGACACTTTAAAATATAGACGGTTTAGTAATTATAAACCATAAACTTAGTTTGATTCGGCCTGGAACAGACCGTTAACCTAAAGAATTAAGAATGGAGTGATATTGATTAATCAATTGATGCATTTTAAAAAAAATTATATATTAAAATTAAATAAAAAGGTTATAATTAAAATATTATATTTTAAAAAAATTATATATTAAAATTAAAATAAAAAATTATAATTAAAATATTATATTTAAAAAAGTTATATATTAAAATAAAAAAAATTATAATTAAAAATATTAATTTTTTTATGATTAAAATATATAAATATATTATAATATTAAGTATTATAATTAGATATTCAAATATAAAATATAACAATATTTTAATTTATCAAATAAAATACTAGTTAAAAAAATTTAAAATTATTCATATAATTAAATATGTATTTTTTTTAAATATATAAAAAATATTAATAAACTGACCATCGTAACCTTTTCTATAAATCATTTTAATTACCTCGAAGTAACTTATCTTATTTCTAAAATACTAAAAACATGATGAATCTAATTAATACCAATCAACCCATTTTACCATCTTTTATATATATATATATATATATATATATATATATATATATATATATATATATATATATATATATATATATATATATATATTATCATTTCAACACTTTTTTTAATTTTTTTAAATTAAATGTGGTAATAATACGAAAATTAGTTTTAAGAGAACTATATTACTTATATATTATAATATTATCATATTTTTAATTAATATAAGATTTTCATTTAATTATATTAAAAAAATAATTTTTGATCGTACCTTCGTTTTCAAGATTTTTTTGTTTTTAAGAATGTTATGTAAATTGTTTATCGTACAAGAGTTCATAGTGGTCATCGAAGTACCAATAAAATAATATTTCCTACCACAATGTACATTTTAATATAGAGGAACTAATAGGACACTGTACCTAATGGTAATAATAAATAATAAATATATTAATCGAATCTGTTTCGTACCCGACAACAATATTTTGTTTTGGTGAATGAACCAAAAAATTACTATATTTTAGAGTTTCAAAATCTATCCTACCCGTATTTACGTGCCATGAAATAAAATATGAACCAAATTTGTCTATAGACATTTTCATTAGTTTGGTTATTTGTTGCACCAACAACAACTACTCATTATTATGATAACGATCATCAAGAGGTTGCTTTGGATTCTCTTTCATCATTATTCTCTCAAACAACGAAAAAGAAAATAGTTCTTCAAATATTCTGAGCACAAAAATAGAATTTTTATATTTATTATTTTAATATTTTTATGTTAGACATAAATTTAACATTTTTTTCCACGTCGGTTGAATCGTTGATCTCTTTTATATTATATTTTTTAGAAATTTATTAATTTTTTAAAAGAATTGTCATTGGTAGGATTCAAACTCGAGCACCTTAAAGTTAGAGTGCGATACTCTAACTACTAAATTACTAGAATTTTCCGATAATAACTTACAAATAAATTATATTTATATATAAATAAATATATATCCGTGTAAATATATAAATACAAATATATTTTTATATATTTATATAGTTATATATTTATATGTTGGATGTGAGGATACGCTCAAAGGTGAAAATGGAGATGCTAAATTTGTGAGGGTATCTTTATATGAGTTTGTAATTTAATGACAGAATATAATATTTATAATTTATTTATATAATGATCTAAAATAAATTTGGAAAACGCGTCATTCACTCTCAAGCGAAAAATACCAATTTTCACTCAAGCGAAGCTTGAGCGAGTGAATTTTCGTAAGCTTTAACGTATTTTCACTCAAGCGAGAGTCAATTTCACTTTCACCCTCAATTGAAAAATACCAATATAATTTATTTGTAAATTATTATAAAAAAATTATATTAATTTAGTAGTTGAGATATTAACTTTCAACTCTAAAATACTCGCATTCAAATACTCGTCATTGACAATTTCAGTAACTTAAGTGAATTTTTTCTTGAAAAAAATAAAAACACTTTCTAGAAAATATATACAAATAAATATATATTTACACGGATATATATTTATTTGTATATAAATATAATTTATTTGTAAGTTATTATCATAAAATTATAGTAGTTTAGTGGTTGGAGTATTAGTTTTCAATTCTAAAATTCTAAGTTCGAATCCTGTCGATCTCAATTTCGTTTCAAATATAACCGATATTGTAGAAAACATATTTTGTAGTAGTGAGAGAAACAATCATCATTAATTTATATTATTAAGAATTAAAAAAAAACACGAATGGATGTCAATCTTTTAAAAATAATTTATGACTAAAACTAAAAAAGAATAAGTTAAATCTTTGTTTTAAAAAAAATCATTTTCTATTAATAGGGGCTACATTGTTTATTATTAATTAACTTCAAACTCAGTAAAATAGTTTAATCTTAGATCAAATGCTCAAACATATGAACAAGTATATGAAAACTAAGGGACATGAATTTTTTCTATATTAAAAAACTAAGGGGTCCTTTTCTTTCCATTTCTATTATAAATAAGAATGATTAACATGATATTTAATGCCACCTATAATTATCTCTATTCATTATATTATTAGGTATATTTAGGATGTTAAAGATATTAAAATAGTTATTATTATCGTTGTTTATTGGGTTTGATTTGAGCATTAAATATTAAAGAAATGGTAATAATTTATTATTTTAATTCGTGATTGTTTAGCACTAAGAAAGTGAAGATAGAACATTGTACCTGTCATTAATTAATTAATTAATTAATATTATCATATTCTCTTGATCCTCAAAATAAATAATACAAAATTCACACGCGAGGCACGAGTTGAATGGAGAAGTAATTTTTTCAATGTCTTTGTTAAACACTAGAACATTCTTTCTATCTACCCATGAATTATAGATTTTTTGTTGAAAGAAAAGTAATGAACAAGGACGAACACATCTTTTAGGTAATGAACACAATAACTTCTACAATAGTGATGTAAAGTAAGTGACAGTGGAAACACTCTTTATTATATGCAAACTTAGAGCATACAAATACAAAAGTGCAGAGACAAACATGAAATAATTACACATAGGCAAACACATAGCCATGTTATTCACAAGTACAATAACATGGAGAAGGAAGCACAGACTCCTTTTATATAGAGATACTGTTGGGAATTCCCTTGAAAGTCAACCCTTCCTCACTTGAACGATGGAGCAATGTGTATGGCAGCTCAACTGGCCCAATTCGGTTTCTCAGACTTGGATCAGAGTTCTTTGCAGAGATTTTCGCTTCAATTTCAGCGAGTTTGCTTCCAAACCTTTTGAAAGCTTCTAAAGCCTTTGAATCAGTTGTCCAGTTTGGATTATCCCTCTGTCCAAGGTAGATCTCATCAGAAGCATGCCTTGACAATATCTCTATCACTGAAAGGTCAATAAGGGTCTCGTACTTAGGTGTGATTGTTTTCAGATAAGCCTTTTGATAATTCGTCACCATCTCATCATATTCTGGAGTCCCTGGTTCTGGGATAAACCTTCTGCTGAGAGTTGGACGGTTCAGGATATAGCCTCCATAAGGATATTGTCCAAAGTTAACAGCTGCATGAAGAGCAGAAGCTGTCCATATGATGATAGAGCAGGATTTTATGAGATCTTCAACAGTCTGCATTTTAGGCCACCAAGGCTTATCTTTCAGATCAGCATGACCCTTCTCTACGGCTTCCTTCCACCATGCTTGGAGTTCAGTGTCTTGTTGAACTGCCACATCTGTGGGGTAATAAAAGGAAACGTACTCTTCAACCCATGACTTAATAGCATCCCATATTTCTAGTCCATCAACAGCATAAGGGTAGTCCTCTATCACAAGACGAAGGCCATGGGGGGCAGATGGATCCTCAACTGCCAATCCTCTGAATCAAGCATTAATAAAATGTTATTATTACAAATTCAACAAGCCTCTCTTCCTTTCTGCCATCATCAAAGAGAAAATTTTGTTCTTGCAGTTCCATTACTAGAAAAGTTCATGTTTCTATTTGAAGAGCACATTTCAAACCTCAATATATATCTTCTAAGACTAAATAACAGTATATGATAAATGGTTGATCTTTATGGTATGCTACACATAATGATTGACTTTTATACTACAAATACCTCTTGACGAGATCTGCTGGCAATGCTTGGTCAGTAAAAACCCAATTCTTGTAAACGGCTGAAGACATCTCCATAGAGTACTTTCCGGGCAAAAATGATTGCTCTATAATGCCACCTGCATTGATCAAAGATTGCCTAGCAAGTCCATTGATATTTATGGTATCACGATAATGAGGGTAAAGAAGTTTATAAACGGGGTGAAGGACACTGAGATTTCTGTTTGTTGCTATGGCAAATGGCTCCATCACTGCATGAGTATTTAACCTGTAACCCCAAGAAGGAAAAAACATACATGTCAATAATAAATTCATATACACATACACTATATATGGACTTAATATTGCTAGAGAAGTTCTTACCAATGACTCATGAGCTGATGATAACCAGAGTCATTTACTATTACATGAGCCTTGGCCAATAGCCAGATTGTGCTATCAACACCATCAATTGCAGGCAACACCACTTTGCTCACAGGACCCAAATTATCTCCACTTGGATGTGGCTTGCTTAATTCGATAGCAAGTGGCTTCAAAGTGCCATCATCTTTCAAGAATAGGATTGTTCTGGTGGCATAAGCTTTTGAAGTAGGTAGGCTGTTTATCCTCGTCAAATAAGGAATGAATGCATCTTGGTAATCTAATATGAACAATCTCTTTGCACCAAGTGCCTGTGTTTCCAAGATTTTAATTTCAGTGATCACTTTGTTTCCTAACTTCGAATTACAAAATTAATATGGTTTAAAGTGCCTCTATACTAAAAAAAATATAACAAAAGTCATGCTACCTACAAAATCAATGATATTATATTGAAAAACGTATATTACCTCATCTACTGTGACCCCACCCATGTTAATCTCCAACTGTTCTTTTGTTATGGTACTGGTTTGATCACCATAGAGAGAGGGATCAAGGGAACTTTTTGGTGGGAATTCCTGCCATTACATATTAAAAGATGATGAAAGATGACAAAAATAATTAGACACAGACATTAACATCTTAATATTGACATAAAAAATCACCAGTTTAGTGGCTTAATATTAAAGAATATACACTTACTTGAAGAAGACGAATTATATTTGGATTTACACCAGCAATCACTTCTCTGGCAAATTCGTCATCAGTCATCCATTCAGACCTTTTAACTGCACATATAAAAAGAAAATATTGTGAAATGAGATTAATAATTTAATTCTACAAGTGTTAATATGTAAGCTGTTTTGATTAAGTACCTTGGATAACATGAGGCAGTGGAAATTGAAGGAAATTTTCACCATCAGTGCGGAAGATTTCCTTGAGGGCTGGTAAAGGACTAATTTTGCTCAATATATCTGTTGGCAGCTTAATTCCACCCTCATAGAGACTACGCACATCGTCGAAGTTACTAAACTCACTTGATGTGACCTTTAACTCAAAAATTGCAGATTTTAACAAAGGTAGCACATCCTGAGATAAGGATTTTATTCCATACATAAGGAAATCTGATGACTTCAAGTGACCAAAATTTTCATCTCTTGGAACATAAATCGGACCTGGTTTCTCACTGTTGGGATCTGTCATGAACCAATATAATATTAAACCCTTATTTTTAAATCATATCAAATTTTAAAACTTTTTCACGTATAAAACCTATATTTCACGTTGACCTCTCTCTCTATATATCAAAACACTACCAAATCTATAGGAGTATAGAAAGAAAACTTGTTAAAATTCTTAGACATGTGGTATTGTTAGTTCTATAAAAAAATGAGTTAAGTAATTTCATCCTACTTATATCATTCAAACTATGCTCATGTTTAGAATGGGTGGATCATAGGGATGGGAATCAAACCCGTCCCATGGGGACCGACCCGTCCCCGCCCCGAAGTTGACGGGGAAAAATCGAGTTGACCGGGTTCGGGTTCGGGTTCGGGTTTTCCCGCTTTAAGAAATCGGGTTCGGGGCGGGGATGGGTAATGCAATCCCCACCCCGCCCCGTCCCCGTCCCCGCCCGACTTTATATTTAAACCTAAATTCTAAAATATTAACTATTTGTCTGTTTGTCTTTTTTTTTTTTAATGTTAATTATATTTAAATTTAAATCCCGATATATAATTCTCTGTCTTTTCACATTACCCTTAGTCTTTTCACATTACCCTTAATCTTTTCACATTATTTATTACTCTTAGTCTTTTCACATTACCCTTTTTGTTTTCTTATAACATTTATCTTGAACAATATATTATTAATAAATAATAAATAAATAAAAAAAAATAAAAAGATGAAAGGATGAAAGAATAAAATTATAAATATATCTTTAAATATATTAAATTATCATTAAGTTTGAGGGAACAAAATCATAAATTATATGAGAATTATCTGGGAAGGGATTAGGAAGATAAAATTATAAATATATTAAATGTTTATTAAATTTAGGAGATCCAAAATCATAAATTATTAAACTTTGAGGCCATTTTAACTCTGAAGAAAATCCCCAATGCATATATATATATATATATATATATATATATATATATATATATATATATATATAAACAAAATTAAACAATCATAATAGATATTATTATATTAAAACACCACTAACAAAATAGTTGAATATGGTTAAACAAAAAAGTCTAACCTGTTTTGGTTCGTTCTCTACCACTTCTAACCCTACGAGGGTAAGGATAGATGACAGATCCTCCAAGGATTGGACGCGGATCACCACCATCTGGATCGCCCAAATCATTATACAAGTCATAATCATAGATTCTATCATATTCCTGGCGTTTCCCTGTTCCATCTCCTCTAAGAGCCTCCAATTCTTCTTTTCTGTACTTTAGTAGTGGAGCTGGCGTTGCACTTGGAAGATATGTCTACAATATATTTCATCAATTAATTTTCTCTATACAGAATGAAAACAAAAATGATCAAGACCGTAGTTGGAAACCAGAAAACGAAAGCTTACATCATTGACAAAGAAAATGCGTTTCTTTTTGCCACTGTTGTTGAAGTTATAAATCCATGAGTTACAAACAAAGTTCAAGGTTCCATAGTTTGGAATGTCTTCAAGAGTGACACTGACGAGGAAAAACTCATCAGTCCTAAAGTTTTTTATGTAAAATGCTCCTGGAATTCCAGAAGCTGCATCCCATTCAAAGTTAATACTGAATGCATCTTGTCTTGCTCCCAACGTTGGTAAGGGGGGAAGATGACTATCCAAATAGGTTTCACTTCCAAGTTTTCCATTTCCACTAGCTGCAAAAAAATACCCATAAAATTGTAAAAATGATTATGATAATTATAAAAGATGAGTATTTTAGAACAATACCATTAAGAAAAAGGTGATACTTGCATGAATAATTTCACCCAAATAATTTACAAATGTATAGCTGTCGCTGAAATAAAAAAACTATTTTAACCGTTGAAGATAAGTTAAATAACTTAAGACATGTCCCACGTAGTACTGTCAGAACATAAATTATGAGTTTAATTCTTACAATAATTTTTTTCCCTTGTTCATCTTTCTCCATCCTTTTAAGGTCAACTTCATGGTTCAAGGTTACTAAAATAGTGTTTAACTTATATAAGAAACATGTGATCAAAATTATAATATTATAAGTTTACAACAAATGATCAATGCAAACAAAAGTTAGACCAGTGGTTCCTTACATTATTGAGGTTTCAGTCCAGAAACAACAAAGAAGATATATAGTATTTTAAGAATAGCAAGAGCTGGATGAGATATGTTCATACATCAGAGATATTATTATAATTAAATTCCAAACAATTAGAAACCATTTTAAGTATAATTTGTTAAATAACTAATGACAGAAAATAGAGTAGTTGGTAGGATGAGAACATACCATCAGTCTGAGTAGCACTGATCAATTGCAAGGAAATATTACGGCCTAAGAAGGAAGTTACACTATCAATTGCTCCACCAGCTAAGTCGGTGACAGTGTCAAAGATATTTTTGGCATTGTCAGTAACACCACCACTAGCAACGGAAGTTATGGCGTTGAAGTCCAACACATTTTTGGGCATCAACACCACAGTGCCCTTTATCTTCGGCTTGTTAAAAAGAGGTGACATCTTAATTTGCTACTGTATAATGTTCTTATTCTTTTTGCAGAAGAAGGAGGAGAGGTTTGAAGCTTAGTTGTGTGTTGTGAGGGGCCAAGACAAGCTATTTATAGAGAGGACGTGAGAAGAGAGAAGCATAAACACCAATAAGTTTAATATGAGGTGTGCAGGTTTATTTTTTTATGGCCACCAACTCCATATGCAACACGTTTATCCACTCTTAATTATATTCGTATCTTCGTTTTTATACATTCAATTTTAATATTCTTTGTTGTCAATCAATTGGTTTTTTTATTGTATTGCTTTTATTTGAGTTTGGACTTCCTATTTGTCTCTTTTTCTTTCTAATTACACATGCAATGATCTATATATCACAAGAAAGAAAACCATATAACCATAAATAATTATTTTTGAACCAGCTCACCAGTATAAAAAATATTTTGCATTTATATTGATTCTTTTGAAATTGGAAATCGATGTACATGAAGCATTGAAATTTTTTAAACTTTGAGGATGAGAAATCCATATTGTCAAAGAAATTAATTAAAAAAAAATTTTTGCTACAGTAGTTATACAAGCAACCAAGTTAGAATGTTATGAACAATATGGTACTCTAAGAATAATCCACTTAACACTTTGTTTAATTATATGTTCTGATGGTAACAATTTTTGTGTGAAGCAGTTAGTTTTCAACTTCCCAAGAAATACTAAACAGACAGGTTGAAAGACTCAAAAACAATTTGAGAATGTCAACATTTAACTGATAAACATAAGATGAACTAAATACAAAGTAATAGTGAAAATGAAAAATCTCTTATTATACTCAAACTGAACGAGAGCAGCACATTACATATATTTCGACAATAATTTCACACAGACTTGTATTGTCTGTCTTATTCAAAAAGCATAATAGATAAGGAAATCACTCATTCGTTTTAGATGGAGATACTGTTGGGAATTCCTCTGAAAGTCATTCCTTCCTCACTTGAACGAAGGAGCAATGTGTATGGCAGCTCAACTGGCCAATATCGGCTTTTCAGACTTGGATCATTGTTCCTTGCTGTGATCTTTCCTTCAACTTCAGCCAGTTTGGTTCCAAACTTTTTGAAAGCTTGTAGTGCCTTTGAATCAGTTGTCCAATTTGGATTATCTCTCTCCCCAAGGTAGACCTCATCAGAAGCATGCCTTGACAATATCTCTATCACTGAAAGGTCAATAAGGGTCTCGTACTTGGGTGTGATTGTTTTCAGATAAGCCTTTTGAGGATTCTTCACCATCTCATCATATTCTTGGGTTCCTGGTTCTGGGATAAATCTTCTGCTGAGAGTTGGACGGTTCACGATGTAACCTCCATAAGGATATTGTCCAAAATTAACAGCTGCATGAAGAGCAGAAGCTGTCCATATGATAATGGAGCAAGATTTAATCAGATCTTCTGTAGTTTCCATTTTGGGCCACCAAGGCTTATCTTTTAAGTCACCATGACCCTTCTCTACAACTTCTTTCCACCAAGCTTGTAGTTCAGTATCTTGTTTAACTGCTGCATCTGTTGGGTAATACAAGGACACATACTCTTGGACCCATGATTTAATAGCATCCCATATTTCTAGTCCATCAACAGCATAAGGGTAGTCCTCTATCAGAAGGCGAAGGCCATGTGGAGCAGAGGGATCCTCAACTGCTAATCCCCTGAATCAGGCAACAAAATAAAATGTTACTAACAAATTCAACTAGCCTCTCCATTTATACTATCATCAAGGGAACTTTTTGCTTTTGTATATTTCAGAGCTCAATGTCTTTAAGAATTAATATTTCACGCAATCACAATGTCATCCAATCACCAATGACAGTACAGTATCTTTTTTACATTAACACTACATAAAAATTAAACCCTATCTTTAATGCCTTCTTAGTGACTAAAATTCCATATATCTCTTTTAGTGAAGTATATTTTATGAGTATTACCTCTTGACAAGATCAGCTGGTAATGCTTGGTCAGTGAAAACCCAATTCTTGTAAACAACAGAGGAAAGCTCAATGGAGTACTTTCCAGGCAAAAATGTTTGCTCAATAATGCCACCTGCATTGATCAGGGATTGCCTGGCTTGACCATTGATATTTATGGTGTCACGGTAGTGAGGATAGAGAAGTTTATAAATGGGGTGAAGCACACTGAGATGCCTGTTAGTTGCTATGGCAAATGGCTCTACCACAGCATGAGTATTTAACCTGTAATCCCAAGAAGAAAAATACATATCAATAGTAAATTCATATACACATACACTATATAGTATACAGTACACATGGACTAAATATTGCAAAGGAAGTTCTCACCAATGACTTATGAGCTGATGATAGCCAGAATCATTCACAATTACATGAGCTTTGGCCAACAGCCAGATTACACTTTCAACACCATCAATTGCAGGCAACACGACTTTACTCACAGCACCTAAATTGTCTCCACCAGGATGTGGCTTGCTTAATTCGATAACAAGCGGCTTTAAAAATCCATCATCTTTCAAGAATAGGATTGTCCTTGTAGCATAAGCTTTTGCAGTTGGTAGGTTGTTTATCCTCGTCAAATATGGCATGTATGCATCATGGTAATCTAGTATGAATAATCTGTTTGTACTAATTGCCTGTTCCAAAAAATTTAATTTCAATAAATCAATTTCTTTACCTCATATTACAAATCCAAGTATTTTTTACATGTTTATCAAGTGTATTTCTCTTTTTATCAGGAGCATTATTAAAAAGAAATTATAAGAGAGTATAGCAAAGATGAAGTTCAATGATGTTTTATAGTAAAAAATGCATATCATTACCTCATCTACTGCGATTCCACCAGTGTTAATCTCCAACTGTTCTTTTGTTATTGTACTAGTTTGATCACCATAGATTGTAGGATCAAGTGTGCTTTTTGGTGGGAATTCCTGCCATTATTAAAGAATGATATGAGGAAAGATGACAGATACTCAAATAGTTAAGTTAATAACAAAACAGTTGGACTTACTTGCAGACGACGAATTACGTTTGGATTTACACCAGCAATCATCTCTCTTGCAAATTCATCATCAGTCATCCATGCAGACTTGCTAACTGTTCAAAGCACAACAAAGATATTTGTCAAATTATTAACTCAACAAATGCTAATATGCTTAAGTTGTTTGATCAAGATGTATAATTAAGGTACCTCTGATTACATGAGGTGGTGGAAATTGAAGGACATTTTCACCATCAGTTCGGAAGATTTCCTTGAGGATTGGTAAGGGGCTAATTTGGCTCAGAATATCTGTTGGTAGCTTAATGCCACCTTCAAAGAGACTACGCACATCGTCGAAGCTATCGAACTCACTTGATGTGACCCTTAGGTCAAAAATTGCAGATTTTAACAAAGGTAGCACATTCTGAGATAAGGATTTTATTCCATATGTAAGGAAATCCGATGACTTCAAGTGACCGAAATTTTCATCCCTTGGAACATAAACCTCACCCCTTTTCTCACTGTTGGGATCTGTCACAAATCAACCAACATTGAAATAAACATCAACAAATAATCCTTATTTGTCAACCATACTATTAAATTTTCCAACTTTTATTCACCTATAAAACTATCCAGTCCCTTTTTCTCCGCTTTGTCCCCTGTTTAGTCTAATAAAAAATAAAAGTCTAACCTTTTCTGGTCTTGTCTCTACCGGTTCTAACCCTGCTGGGATATGGAAAATTGCTAGAGCCTCCAAGGATTTGGCGAGGATCACCACCATCTGGGTTACCCAAATCATTGTACACATCATAATCATAGATCCTATCACATTCCTTGCGTCGCCCTGTTCCATCTCCTCTTAAAGTCTCCAATTCTTCTTCTCTGTACTTAACAAGAGCAGGTGGTGTTTGACTTGGAAGATATGTCTGCCATATATTTCATGAACTTTGTCATTCAAATAATCAAAAAGAAAAATGTCTGAAAAGATAATCGGGCAAAATTTCGTACACATAAAAAAATAGAACTTACATCATTGACAAAGAAAATTCGATTCTTTTGGTAACTTCTGAAGTTATAAACCCAGGAGTTACAGACAAAGTAAATGGTTCCACGGTTTGGAACATCCTCAAGAGTTACACTGACGAGGAAAAACTCATCAGTCCTAAAGTTTTTGATGTAAAATGCTCCTGGGGTTCCAAAATTAGTATCCCATTCAAAGTAAATACTGAATGCCTCTTGCCTTGCTCCCAACGTTGGTAAGTTGGGAAGATGACTATTCAAATATGCTTCCTTTCCAACTTTCCCTTTTCCTCCTACAAAAACCATGCAAGTTCCATTCCAGAAAGATGAGTGTTTAACAAAAAGTAATCTTTATTGTTTCTTAAATTTTACTCAAAATTATAATATTTTATCAATCTAATATAATACGTTCACATTATTCTATCTCTTATTTTATTATGTTTATATATATATATATATATGTATATATGTATATATATGTATATATGTATATATAATCACCAACTTCTGTATTGTTAATGTTTATTTATTATAATTTTAGTATGTTAAATTAAAAAAGATAATGTTCAAATAAAAATTAAATCTTTAATTTTCTGTGTTCTCTCTCTATATATAAATAAATAAGGATGAATGTTTGTGGTTAGAGTTAATAAATGATAACTTTTATATGAGAATAAAAAACTATTTAATATTTAGTGATTAATAACATGTGGTGCAACCCAATTCATTACAAGAACTATATTTTTTTCTTGAGTTAATAATGTCTCTCTCCCAACTACATCTGAGTATTTTTGTGTATTCTCACAGTAAGATCTGTATAAAAAACTATGATAAGTGTGATTTTTAATGTTCTTATTATTGTAAAATAACAGAAGTTAAAGTACTCAGAACAGCATAAACACTCTTTACAGTAGTAATATTTTCTGATAAAGTATTTTAAGAGATGAAGAGAGATTATAATTATAATAAGGGAGGAATGAGTAGTTTTAACAAACAAACCATCACTCTGAGTAGCACTGATCAATTGCATGGAAACATTAGACCCTAGGAAGGCAGTGGCAGCATCAATGACTCCGCCAACTGCGTTGGTGACGCCGCCCAAGATTCCGCCGACAGTGCCGGCGACACCGCCGCTACCAATGGAGGTGATAGCGTTGAAGTCCAACACATTCTTGGGCATCAACACCACAGTGCCCTTTATCTTATGCCCACCCTTGCTCAGGATACCAAACATTTTTTCCTCCTTCTGCGATGCTTTCAACACACACTCAACTCAACCCTATTCACAGACCAAGAAGAAGAAGAAGAAGAAGAAGCTTGAAGGTTGTGTGTGGAGAGAGTGACGAAAGGTATATATATAGAGAGGGAGAATTTTACCATGAGGTTTCCACTGTTACTTTTTTCTCTGTGGCATAATACCTAACTCCATATGCATCACGTGATGCTACACAGTCTATTATTATCCATAACATTACCCAAACAAATCATGTCCATTGTTAGTTCTTATTGTTATGACTCAAATTATCCATTTTTTTCTTTCTCTCATTTTCTCAGCAAAAACTCACCTTTTCTAAACAAGTCATTGGTTTTCTTACTAGAAATGATCTTCCTCTATGTAAGTAAAACTACCATGGCAAAAGTGTAACTTTTTATTTCTTCTCGATATATTTAAGTTATAGAATCAAACAGAATATTCAAAATAGCTATTTTTTTTTCCCGCAAAGTTTAAATTGTCCTGTATTGTATATAATCTTGTTTGAGTTTATGAACAACAAAACTTTCTATTAAAATATTTAATATAGGTGTTTAAACAATCACTAAAAATTAAGTTAGAAAACTGGACGTTGAAAGTATTAAAATAGGTTATATTGTCGACCACTTAAATTAAGTGAATGTAGATAGATTGACCCCACCCATTTACCATCTTTAGCTATAAGACATTTATTTTAAACTATTATTATATTCTTAATACTTTAGGGTATGGTCCCATCTTAAAAATAATAAAGTTAAACATGTCATTACGTTATATATTTAGTCTAATCCATATTATTTTTCATTTACAAATTTACAATTAATAGCTCGCTAATCATTAATTCTAATTTTTATAATTATCTTTCTTTTTATATATATGAATGAGTAAATTATGATATAATCATTAGATTCTATTATCATATTTAAAAGTGATGTGTATTTTTTATTTTAGTTTGTCAAAATTTTATATTTAAAAAAATTAATATATACATATATATAAATTATTATTAATATTAATTTTTAAGCTATGAAAGATTTATACACATTAAAACATAATTATCAAATTAAAAATTAAGAGATAAAAATAAAATAAAATTTTATTTTTATCTCATAATACATGTCAAATATTTTTTTTAAATTATAATAATAAATAATTTTAGATCGTCTCACTTTATGATTTATTAGAACGAATTATACTAAATATTAATTAAAGAAGAAGTCAACGTATAAAAATATTTTAATATTTAAATTAGTATAAAAAAATTAAATGATAATAATAAAAAGTCTTTTAATAAGATTCGAACGATTTCAATAAAATATAGATTATATTTATATATATTTGTAAATATTTTAAATAATAAATTATATATATTTAATATTAATTATAATAAACTAATATATTATTATAATATATATATATATATATATATATATATATATATAAAAATAATTTTATTATAATTTATAAATAGAAGTCTATTTAACATTCATCACCTCTTAGCACAACTCGATTTATTAAAAAAGAAAAGAAGAAAAATGCAACAGATGAGGATGTGACGTAGAGATATGATTGGTGTCTTAGTTGTTAGAGACTTTTTTTGGCCACTTACAAGGAAAAATATTATTATTATAATGCCATGAGGAGCACGTGGTTCCACATTTTTTATTCTTTATTTTAACCTAACCATTCATATTTGCTCTATAAATTATTTTCTCATAAAAATATTTGTTATAATAATTTTAATTTTTATAATTAACCTAAATTTAATTCAGTTTTAGTTTTACAGTGTAAAAAAAAATTTATGCCTACATCGTTTTTCATAAATATATTGGTTTCTTTAGGAAAAGTGAGAATATAATAAAAATATATTATCTTATTAAATGTGATTAATAATTAAGATTTTTTTTTATTAAAAACATTATATTTTTTGAAAAATAAAATAAAATCAAGTGTTGCTATTTCCAGAAATCATAATTTCAAAAGTTACAATTTTCACATATGTGTGTGTGACATAAATATGGTAGTTATGGAATTTAGACATAAAATAATTTCTCCTTTTCATGGATTGTTGTTTATTTTTGGACAATACATGTCCTCATTTATCATGTGAAAGCGATGCATTAAATCATTGAATGATTGAATGTAGAAACTTTTAAGGGTTTTTATTTTTTACATTATTCTTTTGATAATATATATAATTAAAAAAGAAACCCAATTCATAAATTTTAATATATTCATCAATAAGTATTAATTTTTCTTCTCAAACTCAGTTAACAAAAACTTCAATTAATTCAATTGTATTAATATTATTATTTAAAAACTTTAAAATTAAATTAAATATGAAAACTATTTTTTATTAATATAATCAGAAGGGATTAAAATAGAACAAAGGACAAAATTCAGGGATTAAAAATGAAATTAAATAAAAAAAATAGCAATAAAATAATTGATTGGCAAAATATGCTAAAATTGCAATAGGGGCGAATGTTGGATCGTGGACTTCGTAAAGTATCGGGTCGAGCCCATTATAAAGTTTATTCAAACAGTGATTTATTATCTTTATCATTGTAAACCATCATTAAATTTTATGTCATTAGAGGAATTAAGTAAAAAATTAAGATTTTGAATAAATATTTTATCTTAAATATGTAATACAAGAAATTTATAATACACTTACGATGATATTTTATTTTCAGAGTCTAAAGATTAAAATTGAAAAAGATAGCCCAAAAGGAAAATGGGCTCAAAGACAATGCTTCATTTGTTTATATTTTATTTTATTTTATTCTGTTTCTGTTCTACATATATATTATTTTTTTTATTTTATTAAAATATGAATTTTTTAACATTTTTACATGTTTTTTTATTTAATTGTAGTTTGTACCAGGAAAGATAAATGATTTTTTTTTCATATTCAACTAAATTTTATAATAAATAAATATTTTCTTAATCATAACTATTTTTTTCATATATAAGTTACATTTATATATTAATTATAAACACATTTTTATTTTAATTGTTGATGCTTTCTTTAAAAATATTGAATTTTTATTCAGAAGTAAAAACGAACATCTACGTTATGATAGAAATGTGTATACACTACAAAATAAAAAAGAGAAATTCAATTTAAAATGTACACGAATACAGTTGCTAGATGGGATCTTAAAAAATACAAAGCTGAGAGACAATAAGGATATTCATGAAACCTTATATGATAATCTTGATTATTAGCACCACATTGATCACATTCTCCTACGATTAGTGTTTATAATAAGCATAAATTTCGACCATAATTAAGGTATCCAACCACACACTGTTTAGATGGAGATACTGTTGGGAATTCCTCTGAACGTCAACCCTGCCTTACTTGAAGGAATGAGTAATGTGTATGGAAGTTCAACTGGTCCACATCGGTTTTTCATACTTGAATTGTTGTTCCTTGCTGTGATTTTTCCTTCAATTTCTGTCAACTTGCTTCCAAACTTTTTGAAGGCTTCTAATGCCTTTGAATCTGATGTCCAATTCGGATTATCTCTCTCCCCAAGATAGATCTCATCAGAAGCATGCCTTGACAAAATCTCTATCACTGTAAGATCAATGATGGTTTGACGCTTTGATGTGATGGTTCTCAAATAAGCAGTTTGTGGACTCTTCACCATCTCATCATATTCTTTGGTTCCTGGCTCTGGGATAAACCTTCTGCTGAGAGTTGGACGGTTCAGGATAAAACCTCCATAAGGGTATTGTCCAAAATTAACAGCTGCATGGAGAGCTGAAGCAATCCATATGATAGTAGAACATGATTCAATAAGCTCTTGAAGAGTCTGCATTTTAGGCCACCAAGGCTTATCTTTTAAGTCAGCATGACCCTTCTCTACAGCTTCCTTCCACCATGCTTGGAGTTCAGTATCTTTTTGAACTGCCACATCTGTTGGATAATACAAGGAGACATAATCTTGGACCCATGTCTTGATAGCATCCCATATTTCAAGTCCATCGACAGCATAAGGATAGTCCTCTATCACAAGACGAAGGCCATGAGGAGCAGAGGGATCCTCAACTGCCAATCCTCTATAGAGCAACCAAAAGAAAAAGGAAAAACATGTTACTTTAGCCTCTCTCAACTTCTGCCATAATTTTAGTCCCATAATGCAATTAAGTTCGTTTTTCTTTTATAAGACCTTCAATGCTTATAAGACAAATCCTGTTTTCAAACTTTTCATGAGTTTAGTTTTTATATGCTGTCAACTATGAGGTATATATAACTTTGAAGATATTAGTATAAAGATTAATAAACTTACACACGTCATAGTTTAATTTATGGTTAGATGACGTTGTTGCTTTTTCTTTTTCTATACTAATTTACATTTAATAAGAATACCTCTTGATGAGATCAGCTGGCAATGATTGGTCGGTGAAAACCCAATTCTTGTAAACAGCTGAAGACATCTCCATAGAATACCGTCCAGGCAAAAATGATTGCTCTATAGTGCCACCTGCATTAATCAGGTTTTGTCTAGCAAGTGCGTTGATATTTATGGTATCACGATAATGAGGGTAAATAAGTTTATAAATGGGGTGAATCACACTGAGATGTCTGTTTGTTGCTATGGCAAATGGCTCCATCACTGCATGAGTATTTAACCTGTAACCCCAGGAAGAAAAAAGCATACATATCAATAATAAATTCATATACACATGCACTATATATGGACTTAATATTGCCAGAGAAGTTCTTACCAATGACTCATGAGCTGATGATAACCAGAGTCATTTACTATTACATGAGCCTTGGCCAATAGCCAGATTGTGCTATCAACACCATCAATTGCAGGCAACACCACTTTGCTAACAGGACCCAAATTATCTCCACTTGGATGTGGCTTGCTTAATTCGATGACAAGTGGCTTCAAAGTGCCATCATCTTTCAAGAATAGGATTGTTCTGGTGGCATAGGCTTTTGCAGTAGGTAGTTTGTTTATCCTCGTCAAATACGGAATGAATGCATCTTGATAATCTAATATGAATAATCTCTTTGCACTAAGTGCCTGCGTTCCATAGAATTTAATTTCAGCTCTCACTTTGTTATATCTTTGAATCATAATGAATCTTAACATTTTGTTCTATATTTCTAAAACATATTAAATAGATTTAATTTTTTTCTGCTATGTGATCAGTGTTGTTGAGTCAGCTGATATACCCCATCACATCAGTTTCTAGTTGACAATATTATACTTTCCTCAAAAGAATAAGGTGTTGGAGAAAATAGCAAAACTCATTAATTAGGGCTAGTTAATATCTATTTTATAGTGGAGCTAGCAAACATGTATATCATTACCTTTTCCACTGTGACCCCACCCATGTTAATCTCCAACTTTTCTTTTGTTATGGTGCTAGTTTGATCACCATAGAGAGTGGGATCTAACTTGCTTTGTGGTGGGAACTCCTGCCATTATTAAAATGAAGATATATGTGCATTAATCAGATAGTGGAGCAATAAAACAATTTAGCATTCGCTGATTAACCATAAAATATCTACACTTACTTGAAGACAACGAATTACGTTTGGGTTTACACCAGCAATCATCTCCCTTGCAAATTCATCATCAGTCATCCATGCAGATTTATTAACTGCTCAAGTCATATAGATTGATTAACATATATTTTTAATATTATGTTCAGATTAAAGTTTGGAAAATACTAACTTCAAACATACATGAATTGTTTTTTATTAAGATGTGGAATTAAGGTACCTTTGACAACATGAGGTGGTGGAAATTGAAGGACACTTTCACCATCAGATCGGAAAATTTCCTTGAAGATTGGTAAGGGACTAATGTCACTAAGTACACCTGTTGGTAGCTTAATTCCACCTTCAAACAAGTCACGCACTTCTTGGAAGCTATCAAACTCGTTCCATGTGAAATCTGAGTCAAAAACGTTTTCAAGAGAAGGTAAGAGTTCTTGAGAAGTGGATTTTAATCCATATGTGAGGAAATCTGAGGACTTCAAATGACCGAATTTTTCATCTCTTGGCATATAAATCTCGCCTGCAGGTCTCTCACTTTTAGGATCTGTAAAAGAATCGAACAATTAATATCAGAAAATTTCAGAACACTGATTACATGGCCGAAAGGGCAAATATTCTTAAACAGCAACAAAATAATTAATTTTGTCAAGTCTATCATTAAATCACGCATATAAGTTATACATGTCTTTTTCTTTCATACTTTATAAATCAAATGGCATGATTTTTCCCTTATTTCTCCACATAAACCAAATAATGTATGCCTTTTTGTTTCTCTTGTTCAAATAAAGTATATACTTTTCTCTCTTATCTCTTCTCTTTCCTTTTTCTTGACTAAACTAAACAATGAAACCTCTTCCTCTTCCTGCTCTTTCCCTTAATTAAAATATTCTCATCTCTCTGTCCTCTTACAAGCACGTTGCTACTATTATTTTATATTGAAAATCATCATTGTTCTCTTTTTTGGCACAAACCCATTGTCCTTTTATCTTATAAAGAACTTCCACCAACCAACCAGTTTCTCCTATATATGTCAGTTTCCTTATCGAAGTAATGGAAACATGATAAATGAAAGAAAAGCCAATAAGTTTAACCTTTCTTGGTGGCTTTTCGACCAGTTCTAACCCTACGAGGGTAGGGATAGGTGCTTGAGCCTCCAAGAACTGGACGAGCAAGATTTTTGTCACTATCTGGGTTCCCCAAATCATTGTACACATCATAATCATAGATCCTTTCCCATTCCTTGCGTTCTCCAGTTCCATCTCCTCTTAAAACCTCCAACTCTTCTTTCCTGTACTTAACTAGTGGAGCTGGTGTTGCACTTGGAAGATATGTCTGCAATATATTTTATGAATAAGTTTTTTCATTTGGAAAATGAATATGAAAATGATTAAAAAAGTGATTGAGCTTGATCTTCTAAAAACATTACATAGCAACAATTAAACACCACTGGGGATAGCTAGATTTGATATTCAGACTCTTACATTATTGGCAAAGAAAATACGATCCTTTTTGTAGTTTTTAAAGTTGTACACCCACGAGTTGCAAACAAAATGAATGCTTCCGTGATTCGGAATGTCCTCAAGAGTGACACTAACGAGGAAGAACTCATCATACGTAAAGTTTCTGATGTAAAATGCTCCTGGAATTCCAAAACTAGAATCCCATTCAAAATGAATGTTGAATGCATCTCGTCTATTTCCCAAGGTTGGTAACGTCGGAATATGCTTCTCTAGATAACTTTCCGTTCCAACTTTCCCGTTTCCCTTTGCTACAAAAACACACAAATAAAACCAAAAAGATGAGTGTCTTTGATCCAACAGTAATCTTAAAAAGAGTCATAGACGCATCAATATTTGTATCGATATATCTTATAAACTATTGACAGAAAGCTACCCTGATCCTAAAAAAAATTGGACAGTACTACAGACTAAATATAATCAAAGAATTTAAATAGAATATATGGATAGAATAATATTATAATATTATCCAGTCTCAAACTGTCATGTACAGTAGATTTACTATCTTTTATAATAATTATTTCAAAAGTTACAGATTACAGTTAAACTACGTAGGATAGCTAAAATTATGTAGTTATGGGTTGACAAAAATTTGTCCCTTTTATTTAACCAAAAAATGAAAAAAGAAAAGAAAAACAGTGTAAGCATGGAGGAGAGAAGTGATGGAAAGAGAAAACAAACCATCAGTGGAGGTTGCACTGATCAACTTGAAGGAGACATTACGGGAGAAGATGGCAGTTGCAGAATCAACTACTTGACCAGCTACGTCGGTCACGGTGTCGAAGACACCGGAGACAAAACCATCAACACCTCCATTCTTCACTGCGTTTAACTCGTTAACGTCCAACACATTCTTTGGCATCAACACCACAGTACCCTTGATCTTCTGGCTCTTGTCGAAGAGGCCAAACATCTCTGCAACTTCTTCTTGATGATGATAATATAAACACTTTTAATACTCTCTTTTGGCAACGTAAGAGGCTCTTGTATTGTAGATGTGTCTGGAACAAAGCAAAGTGAGGTATTTATAGATGGAGAAAGAGAGAGATGAAACCTTCAAACATGCTTTTACTGTCAAGTTGCTATGGTTGATTGATTATTATACGGGCTGCTACGTGTATAAATATATCAACACATTATTAATGTGACTTTACATTGATGTTATCCATGTGATTAGTTTAATTTAATCTCGTTAATTAAGGTTTCGTGCGTCTCTTTAACTCAAAGAATGTATATCTGATATCACAACATCTTAAAGAGTTAATCAATGTCATGATCAATTTCATTTTTGTGGGATTAAATTGATAGAGACAAAATATATTCTTAAAACAGTTCTATATTTGGGTCGAAAATATCCATACAACATAAAGCAGTTCCATTTGAGTGAAGTATAAAGATTTATTTTAATTTAGAACAAATAATTATCAATTTTAAAAAAATCTGAGAACAATTATCTTCACACATATAAATAATTAAATTAGGTATACTTTTTTCAAATACAAGACATAAAACAAATAAATATTAACACATTAATACAACATGCTCTGTAAATGTTTGGTGGCAGCCACGAATAGGAAAGAAAGCGCTGAAAAGAGTTAAAGAGAAAGTCAAGAAATGCATCCTAATGTTCATATAATACTCAATTAGCTATGGGATGTGCATTTATTTTAATCTTAATTTTATAAATAAATAAGTAATAAAAATTCAAAAAAAGAATTTTAAAATAAATTTCTTCAATATTTTTGTTTCTCTTTATTGAGAATTTTATTATATTTTATTTAAATTATATATTTTTATTATTATTTAGAATAAAAATATTAAATTATTATTTTTATTTAAATAATTATGATTAAAATATTATTAATATTTGATGTTTTATCACATTTTTATATATATATATATATATATATATATATATATATATATTACAAGTATATAAATAAAACATGGAAATACGAGAAATAATTTGTACCACATTTTATATATATATATATATATATATATATATATATATATATATATATATATATATATATATATATTGTACACAAAAATTCTATAAATTTCCATCACAAAATTATTTTTCTTATTATTTTTCATTAATTCTTTTCTTTCATCCAAACATAACGATTAAACGTTTTACTTAAAAGAAGAAAATATGTAAAATAAAGGTGATTTACGATAGAATTAGAGGTAAACATATCTCCATGGTAGATATAAACTTATATGAAAAATGATCTATGTTTTATTCTCTTTCTCATTATCTTGAAATCAAGTTTTTCAGACGTAAGTTTTCAAACAAAACCATCAAACATAGTTTGATATATGCGGAAAATAATTTTAAAAAACACAAATAGTTCTCGTTAATATTGCGTTTTTCTTATACAATATATCTTATAAAATATCATAATTTAAAATTAACTTCCAACGAACAACTTTATTTCTTTTAAATAATAATTAAATATGTTTAATTTTAAATTAATAAATTTTGGAAAATTGAATGTATTAAAAAATATAAGTACATGGCACGAATAAAAAGAAACGTAGGTGAATAAATTAGAAAACTCAGACCCACAAATTAGAAAGTCACGTGCAAAGCAAGGACGAGGATTTATTGAATCTATATTATTTTATTATTTTTTTCTTTATTTATTTTGATCTCTCACATGAAATAGAATAATAGGTGACTAAACCAAAGGCTCCTATTACGAAGGATAATATTGTTTTATAAAAGCTAGGGCAATATTATATCATCGCGTGGCCTTATCTTCTTAAATATATATTCATATGTTCTAAAGAAGGAGACTTTTGATTATAATAATTAACAATGTCACTGTCGGGGTAAGAAGATCCACAACCATGGCATGAGGAGGTGAGAGAAGAAAGAAATGTATTAAATGAGAAATACGTATTTATCGTAAATTTATAATAATTCTTAGAACAATACAACTCAGCTCAGATTAGAAAGTGGAAATTTTCTAATGAGCTTATTTATCAGGGTTTAACAACTGCATGGAAAGCTGAAGCATTCCATATAACTTACTAAAAAACAAAGCACACATACTGATATACATGCATATAGGCATGCGTGTTATTGAAAGGTGGAAGGACAACACAAATGGAAACCACCATCCATGCGTTTAGATAGAGATACTGTTAGGGATTCCTCTAAAAGTTATCCCTGGTTTACTGGTAGGAAGAAGAAGAGTGTAGGGCAATTTGACTGGTCCAGTTCGGTTTTTTAGTTCTTCCTTGATGTTCCTGTCCAAGATGTCTTCCTCAATTTTTGCTAGGGATTTTGTAAATTTGTTAAACTCAACTTTTGCTTTTTCATCACTGATCCAATCTAGACTGTCCCTTTGTCCAAGGTACACCTCATCAGAACTATGACTTGACAGTACCTCCATCACTGTAAGATCAATAGTGGTCTGGTACTTTGGTGTAATTGTTCTCAAAAAGGCTTCTTGAGGATTCTTGGCCATCTCATCATACTCTTCAGTTCCTGGTTCTGGAATCCATCTTCTGCTTTGTGTTGGACGGTTCAGGATATAACCTCCATAAGGATACTGTCCAAAATTAACAGCAGCGTGGAGAGCTGAAGCAATCCATATAATAATGGTGCAAGTGTCAATCAGATCTTCACGAGTTTGCATTTTTGGCCATTTTGCATCTCTTAAGTCAGGGTGACCCTTCTCCACAACTTCCTTCCACCATTCTTGCAATTCAAAATCTTGTTTAACTGCCACATCTGTTGAGTAATACAAGAAGATATAGTTTTGGACCCATGTCTTAATAGCATCCCATATTTCCAGTCCATCGACAGCATAAGGGTAGTCCTTTATCAGAAGGCGAAGACCATGAGGGGAACCGTCATCCTTAACTGCCAATCCTCTAAATCAATCAAAAGAAAAAATAAAGAAAATGTTATTTTGATATTAAAGGCACTTTGAATTTTCGCCATCATTAAAAGGGCATGACATATTTCTGTGTTTACATATAGACCCATAGTTGAACACGTTCATGTTTCTAAGTTAATAAGATTATTACCTTTTGATGAGATCATTTGGTAATGCTTGGTCAGTGAAAAGCCATTTCTTATATGCAGCAGAAGATATCTCCATAGAATAACGTCCAGGCAAAAACGTTTGCTCTATGATGCTACCTGCATTAATAAGGGATTTCCTAGCAAGTGAATTGATATTTATGGTGTCATGGTAGTGAGGATGGAGTAGTTTATAAATGGGGTGAAGCACACTGAGATTTCTGTGTGTTGCTATGGCAAATGGCTCCATCACTGCATGAGTATTTAACCTGTGACAGACCCCAGGAAAATTCCAACAATTAAACTTCGTTCAACATGGACTTAACATATGTTGCTAGCAGAAAGAGTACATCTATATAGAAATATATACCAGTGGCTTATGAGCTGATGATAGTTTGAGTCATTTACAATAACATGAGCCTTGGCCAATAGCCAGATTGTACTTTCAACACCTTTGTCTGCGGGCAAGACCACTTTATTCTCGACACCTGGCTTGCTTAATACAATAGCAAGTGGCTTCAATGTCCCGTCATCTTTCAAGTATAAGAATGTCTTTGTTGCATAAGCCTTTGCAGAAGGAAGGTTGTTTATCTTGTTCAAATACGGCAAGAAAGCTTCGTGGTAATCTAAAACGAATAATCTGTTACAACTGCATGCCTGTTCCAAAAATTTAACTTCAGTGATCACTTTCTTAATAATTTCATACCTTTGAATCACACCAATACCCCTTTGGCTGCCTCCATACTAGAAATAATAATGTAATTAAAGAAAATATTGAACTAGTTCATATTTCCAAGATATTGATTTTTTTTTTTCTAAATCTATGTATACATATATATTATCACCTCATCTAGTTTGAGCCCACCCATGTTCAGCTCCAAGTGTTTTTCTGTTATTGTACTCGTTTGATTAGAGTTGTTAATTGGTAGACCAAGATCCTCAAACTGCCATTAATAAAGATGTCCAACAATCAGATGGAAAGGCCATCACAATAAACTAATTGAGCATATATAGATCACTGTATATTAACAATAAAATTAATATTGGAACTTACCTTAAAAATGCGAATTACACCAGGGTTTACACCAGCAATCATCTCTCTTGCAAATTCTTCATCAGTCAACCATCCAAACTTGCTTTCTATATAACAAAAAGAAAATAAAATTGCGAAATAGTGTAATGTTTGGAAGTAGTTACGTTGGACTTTAAATATGAACAAGTTACCTTTGATTACATGAGGTGGTGGGAACTTGAGGACATTTGGAGTACCGTTGGCATTGATAGATAAAGGCAGATTAACGCCACCTTCATACAGTTTCTGCACTTCTTCGAAGCCATTAAATTCGTTTGTTGTGGTTTTTAAATATAAAGATAGGAGCAAGGGTTCGACTCTTTCAGCTAAAATTTTCGTTCCATTTTGAAGGAACTCTGATGTCTTCATTGGACTGAATTTTTCATCTCTTGGCACATAATAATCCTCGCCTTGTGTCTCGTATTCACCACCTGTCAAGACCCATATTCCCGTCAACACAAAAAATAAGTAACCAAATTTTTTCATTTTCTCTTTTAAAAGCAACCTTTTCCGGGTACTATCAGAGATTCAGCAGAGACACTTTTCTCATACTTTTATCAGTCACATGTTTCGTAAACTGGTCCTTTCTTTAGAACATGTAATTAAAACATGATCAAATGTAACATACCATTGTTGTTATTGTGGATAAGTTTTCTCCCAGTCCTAACCCTACGAGGGTAGGGATAGCGAGTGCCTCCAAGAATTGGGTGATCCTCTGGTCCATCGCTGTCTAGAAAGCCCAAATCATTATAGACATCATAGTCATAAATCCTATCCCATTTCTGACGCTCTCCAGTTCCATCTCCCCTTAAACTCTTCAACTCTTCTTCTCTGTACTTTCGTAATGTCTCTGGTGTTTGATTCCCAGGAAGATGTGGCTGCATGCAATATATTTAAGTATTAACTATTTTTCTCATTTAAATTAAGAATGGAATAACAATGACTGTGACTTTTTTGACTTACAATGTTGTCAAAGAAAAGGCGATCCGTCTTGTAACACTTATAATTGTGAACCCACGAGTTACACACAAAGTGAATCTTGCTTTTGTTCTTCTCCTCGTCGCTTGTTGGAGCTGGATATTCAAGAGTCATACTAACAAGGAAGAACTCATCTTTCATCTGGTTTGTTACGTAGAATGCTCCTGGAATTCCCATCTCATCATCATTCCAGTCAAAATAAATGTCGTATTCCTCCGCTATCGACCCCAAGTTTCGTAACACAGAAACATTATTCTGTAAACGGGTAGCGTTTCCAACTTTCCCTGGGCCACCTACAAAACCATGCAAATGAAAATTAGACAAAATAGTACTCACGTTCAAGGAATGTAAAGTTTGTTTTACAGTATCATTTGATTAAAAAAATAAAATAAAAGGAGAAAGAGAGATGACTAACCAATAATGGATGACTTGGTGCGGCTAATCAACTTGAAAATTACAGATTTAGTAATATCATATTCATCTGCTGATTCAATTAGCTTGACGCCAGAGCTAACTAGACCCGTGACGCTGGTTATGGTTTCAATCACACTCTTCCGCATCAACACCACCCTCCCCTTCACCAACTTCATCTCTTCCACCTTTGAACTCATTGCTATAGCAACGATAATTTCTTATCGATCTAATTATGCAAGAGATGTTCTTTTGTAGTGAGTTGTGAGGAAGCCAATACTGTAATCTTGGGTATTTATAGATACGAAAATCTACGATGCATGTGCAAGTAGATCTTCGCAGAGAACGGGAAGTGGATAGATCTCACAATAATATAAAAAATAAATATCTTTATATTTACTAAAAGTAAACGGTTTGGACAGAAAAGAAAAATTATGAATTGAACACAATTTTTTAAAATATATTTGTTATATATAATTATTTATTTTATCCTCGTTTAAAATAAAATAAATAAATGAAAACTTACTTATTTACTTTTGAAATTATAATTAGCTAACATGTTGACACAATAATTCTCTTGTGAATAATGTAAATTAATGGATATATATATATATATATATATATATATGATTATATAATTTAGTAATTAAATTATTTAGGCAATTAATGGTATGTGTATAACCATATATGACTAATTGCAATGAATTCAAAGCAAATAGTTAAATTATCTCTTTCATAAGATTTGGATTGCATGATCTATGATATATTTTCATTTATTTTGCAGTTGAATCCTTTCACTAAAATTTAATTAGTTTTAAATACTTTTTTTTCTAATTTATGTTCTATATTTAATTTTCTATATACTAATCTTTTACACATTATTGCATTTCTAATTTATTTATTTTATTTTCACTAATAAGGAAATTTAATAATTAAACTATTTGAGCAATTAAAAGTATTTACGTGGCTTTAATTTTGTATCGAACATATCTGCTCTTACGAATCTCAACACGGGAAGGTTAGAAAATTTATAAGTTTATGACAGAAAATTATATAACAAATTATCACATTCTTAGTTATCACATGATTCTTAAATTACTTTGCAAAAAGAAAAGAAGTCACAGGTGACATTTTTACAGATCAATTTAAGAGAATAATTATAAGAATAGAGTCCTAGGAAGATCTATAAATCTAGTTATATGAGAAGGTCAAAACATGTTTTCTTCAATATTTTTATCATCTAACGGAAGTTGCTGTGAATCTTCTATTTATGAAAACAGTCATTATATAGAATGATTATAACAGCATTACAATAAAATAAAATAAATTCTAACAAATTAATAAAAATAACTAACAAACTATTTATTATCATATTAACAATATCAAACACAGATAAATTTTATCATAATAATCCCTCTCAAGTTGAAGCATGGAGGGAGAAAATCTCTAACTTGGACACTAAAATTTGAAACTGCTTTCTATCGAGAGCTTTAGTTAGAATATTTGTAGTTTGGGAATCAGTCTAATGTTTTGTGTGGAAATAGTTTTGGACATCACATGTTCTCGAGCAAAATGACAATTGGGTAATGTATTTTGTCCGTTCATGAAAAACCGGATTAGAAGCAATATGAATAATAGATTGACTGTCACAATATAATGTCATTGGCATGGAATGAGAGATATCAAGATCTTACAGAAAAGCTTTGATCCATAGTAGTTCAGAAGTGGCAGCTACTATGGAACGATACTCAACTTCAGTAGAGGAACGAGAAACTGTGTGTTGCTTCTTAGATTTCCATGAAATAGGCGATTGACCGAGTGTTATAAAGTAGCCAGTGATGGATCATCGAGTAATAGGACAACTTTTCCAATCAGAATCACAATATGCATGAAGATGAAGATCACAAGTGGAACGAATAAGTAGTCCTTGACCTGGATTACCCTTGATATATCGCAAGACTCGTAACATTGCATCATAATGTTCTTGGAGCGGATGTTGAAGAAATTGAGAAAGTGTATGTACAACATAGCTTAACTGAGGTCGAGTTATTATAAGATAAAGAAGGCGACCTACAAGACGTCGATAACGTGTGGGATCATCGTAAGTTGGTCCATCTGCAAGGGCCAATTTATGATTCTGATCCATGGGAAAATAAGATTGTTTACACCCAAGTAATCCGCATTCATGCAATATATCCATAGCAAATTTGCGTTGACTTAGAAATATACCAGAGGAGCTACAATCAAATTCAATACTGAGAAAATATTTAAGTTTTCGAAGATCCTTGATTTTGAAACAAGAGATAAGATGAATCTTAACTTGATCACAAACAGATTTGTTGTTTCCGGCCAAAAGGATATCATCAACATATATAAGAACCGCAACGAAATCCTAATCTCTTGTAAAAGTGAACAACCTGTAATCAGCTTTGGATTGTTGAAATCCAAATTTAAGAAAAGAGTCACAAAGTTTAGCAAACCAATTTCGCCGTGACTGTTTGAGACCGTAAAGGGAACGTTGCAATTTGCATGCAGAGCTAGGAGAACCAATAGAAAAACCAGGAGGAAAACGCATATACACTTCTTCTTCAAGATCTTCGTGAAGAAAAACATTATGAACATCCAATTAATAAATATCTCATCCCTTTGCAACAGCTACAGAAAGAAAAGTGCGTACACTCACCATTTTTGCAACAGGAGCAAAGGTTTCATTATAATCTTCTCCTTCAATATGGTTATTACCTACAATAACTAATCTAGCTTTGTATCTTTCTATAGAGCCGTCAGAATGATACTTGATTTGAAAAATCAACTTACAAGGAATTGCTTTCTTTCCTGGAGGGAGAGAAGTGACAACCCAAGTGTGGTTATCCTCAAGAGCCTGAATTTCAAGTTTCATAGCTTGTTGCCAAAGTGGATCATTCATGGCTTCTTTAAACGAACGTGGCTCAATGATGTTACTAATAATCGTTAAGAATTTTTGGTGTTTTGAGGAAAAAGTATGATTAGTAATAAAGTGCTCAATAGGATAAAAGATACTTGAGGGAACGCTAGATAAAGTGTTGACAGAAGAAGGTGTAGTAGCATTGCGACAATAATAATCTTTAAGATGTGTTGGAGGTCGATGAGATATACTTGTACGTCGAAGAGGCATGGAAGATGAAGAAGTATCAACAGAACTCCCCCTTTCAGTAGACTCTGGATCATGTAAAGGTGCAATAAAGAGGAAGTACGAGTATCATGTGGTTCATACAAAATCATAGATGTGGAAGTAGGATATATTGAAGCTGGAGGAATGTCCATGGTAGGTGATGCAAATGGAAATTCATCTTCAAAAAATTTAACATCACGAGAGACAAAAATCTCCTTTGTATCTAAATTAAATACCTTCCAACCTTTTTTTGTTAGATGGGTAGCCTACAAAAACACATTTTTGTGAGCGTGCAACAAACTTATCAACCGGTTTAGGCAAAACTGTAGCATAACACAAACAACCAAGGACCCTAATATGGTCATAACTGGGTGGAGTATCATGAAGTACTTCATAGGGACATTTTTCATTGAGCAATTTAGTGGGAGTTCGGTTAATCAAATGAGCCGCTGAGAGAATACATTCACCCCACAAATCAATAGGAAGATGTCCATCAAATCGCAAGGCACGAGCCACATTAAGAATATGACGATGACATCGTTCGACTCTACCATTCTATTGTGGCGTATATGTACATGATAATTGTTGAATAATGTCACAGTTTTCAAAGAAAGAACGCAGATGGGTAGAAACAAATTCAGTCCCATTATCAGTTTGAACCCTTTTAACCATGGAATTAAATTGAGTTTGCACCATTGTAATAAATTTTATTACCGTAGAACATGCCTCATGCTTGTCACGTAAAAGATAGACCCATACATGACAATTGAAATCATCCAAAATAGTTAGAAAGTAACGAGCACCAGATGCAGAAATAGTTCTATATGGTCCCATAAATCACAATGGATTAAATCAAAGGAGTGCAAACTATGCTTTTTATTGATAGGGAATGAATAACGTGTTTATTTGGCTTTACAACACACATCGCAGGAAACTATTATATTTGAACTAGAAACAAATGGCAGCAAATCCAAATAATGTTGAGAAGGATGTCCCAAGCGTCGATGCCACAAATTGAAAGAAGAGGAACCATGAGCTGCATTTGCAGAAACTGATTGGCAAAGTACATACACCCCTTCATGCTCAACACCCTGTCCAATCATTCTCCTCATATGTAGGTCCTGTAGAAAACATTTAGAATTATTAAATATAGTTATGCAGTCATTGGAGCGTAGCATTTGAGAGATAGAAATCAAGTTGCACGTAGAGAACATTAGTAAGTAGCAACAGAGATGTAAGTCTAACATCCCCACATTGAATTGCGAGAGTACGATAACCATTGGGTAAGCCTATTGAACAAGGAGGGATAGTGCGTATGTTAGAGAGAAGAGAGACAGTCCCAGGCATATGTTGGGAAGCCCCACTGTAAAGAAGCCAAGAGTGTTTGGAAGATACTGTACCACATAATTTTTCAGTGGGCGTTTTAGAGGAAACAACGATTGACATCAGTCGTTGAAGCATTTCAGGAGTAAAATCAGTAATTGATAAAGGTTTGGAGGGGTCACTATCATCAGAAGATGCACCAGATTGAGTGGCATGAGCAGAAGCGAAAGCAGAGCATCCTGTCGAAGAAGTGTGTGTTAGGTAAACATTAAATGCATGTAGTTGAGAGGTAGTGATTATAGAAGTAGTAGTTGAAAGTTAGTTGTTGTATTGAATGTATGTAGTTGAAAGGTAGTAGTTGTATTAAATGAATGTAGTTGAGAGACTATATCCAAAGGGCCTATAAATTGACTATGCATCACTCATTGCAAATATCATCAAGTGATAATATACAGAGTGCTTTATTTAGATACTTGTTTGTCTACAAATTGGCATCAGAGCTTGAGAGGCTGAGTGTCTGAGTGCGTTAGAGAGAGTGTTTGAGAGTTAGAGAGTTTGTTTGAGATGGCCAACTTAGCTAACAGCATGCCCCTACCAAAGTTATCAAAAGGCGTAAGTTATGATAACTGGAGCCTGCAAATGAAGGCTCTCCTTGGTTTCCAAGAAGTATGGGATGTGTTCGAAAATGGACACCAAGAACCAGAGAATATTGAAGAGCAGACGATT